CCTTTTCCTCATCCTCCTCCACCTCCTCCTCATCATCAACATCGTCATCATCCACCCCTCTTTGTATCACAGGGGTGCTTGGCGCGCTGAACATTTTATTTCGAAGAGGCTCCCAAAGGGGTTTCGGCCGATCCCGCGGGTCTACCAATGTCGTGCACACATACCTATATTTATGCATATATATATACACACATACATATGTACATGCATGCATACATACAAATATATACATACATACATACATACATACATACATACATACATACATACATACATACATGCATACATCCATACATACATACATACATACATACATACAGACAGACAGACAGACAGACAGACAGACAGACAGACAGACATACATACATACATACATGCACATACATACATACATGCATGCATACATACATACATACATACATACATACATACATGCATGCATGCATGCATGCATACAGACAGACAGACAGACAGACAGACAGACATGCACACCTACCTACCTACCTACCTACCTACCTACCTACCTACAGACAGACAGACAGACAGACAGACAGACAGACAGACAGACAGACAGACAGACAGACAGACAGACAGACAGACAGACATCTTTATATAGAACACGTGCTCACCTTCGTGCTCGCTCAAGATGGTTCCAAGATGGCCTTCGAAACGCCTCCAAGACTGCCATGATGAAGGCAAAATGGCCCCAAGACGCATTCAAAACGGCCCGCGACGGCCCAAGATCACTCCAAAACGGCCCAAGAGGTCCAAAACGGCCCAAGACCACTCCAAGACGGCCCGAGAAGCCCCAAGAGGGTTCCAAGAGGACCTCCCGGAGGTAAACTAGCCTGGCGAAGGACCCAACCATATGCAGTTTTGAATACCGCAATTGTGAATACCATCCATATGTGGACACGGCTTCCCGCCAGAGCCCGACATGCTCAGGGATACGTTCGTGGCCGTCTTCGCGGGCGCCGACAACAACGACGAGGACGGCGTCCCTCTGACCGAGGAACAAAGCAGGAGAGGGCTCTGAGAGCCATGAGAGAGAAGGTGGCGTTGCACGCCGACACGGCGGAGTACGACGCCCAGGCGCGGTTGCTGAAGCAGCACAACTATGGGGCCACGATCCTCGTGAAGGGTGTGCCGAAATGGCCCGAGGCCGCCATGCGAACTCTGCCAGTGGGGCCTTCGGTGAAGCTCCTGTGGGGCCACGATCCTCGTGAGGGGTGTGCCGAAATGGCCCGAGGCCGCCATGCAAACCTACCGGCGCCTTCGGTGGAGCTCCTATGCGGCCGAGTCGGTGTGGGAAACCTTGGTGGAGCATCCGGGGCAAACAAAAGCGGAAGGAGGAGGAGAGGAGGCGGCAGAGGAGGAGGAGAACCCCCGACGTCATGACGTCGACCTCCAGAGGTCTCGACCCTTTCCCCAGGATTGGTTGCTCATCCTGAATTCCTTTCTGACGGTCCCGAGGTCCAGGAAGGGCCCAAAAAGCCCAAAATAGAGAAAAGCCTCAAGTCGTGTTATCTTCATGACTCGAGGGGGTGAGGAGAAGGAAGACATAGGAGGAGGAAGAAGGAGGAGGAGCGAACCCAGATCACCGATCCCCGAGCCCCGATCCTCGCCCTTTCGAGCGCGGCAGCTCCGCGCCTGCAAGAGCAGGGCCACGCGCGGGCTGGTGCCCCGGTTCACGGAGATGGTGTGCCTGAGGGGCAGGCACGGGAGGTGACTGGCCCCGGGGGGGAGAACACTGACCTGGAATCGACGATACATCGCCGATGGATCGGCGATAGCCTCAAGTCGGGCGTGTCCCCCTACAGGGGAATTTTCGACGAAAAATGGAAAATACCCCAAAAAGAATCAAACAGTAGTCCAAACATCGTCTGGGAACTATTTTTGGACTATTGTGGAGATGGTGTGCCTGAGGGGCCAGCACGGGAGGTGGCTGGCCCCGGGGGGAAAGAGCACCGACCTGGAATCGACGATACATCGCCGAGGGATCGGCCGTGGCCCCCCGATGGTGGGCGGGGGCAGGCTGTCGGGCCCCACGTCGGCGATGAATGGACGACGGGGGTTCTGTCGGGCGTGTCCCCCTACAAGGGGGATTTTCGAAGAAAAATAGAGAACACCCCAAAAATACCCCAGAGAGGTCAAAAAATAATCCAAAAATAGTCCCCAGACTACTTTTGGACTATTTGTTTACCCGACTTACGGGGTCAAAGCATCCCCCCCCTGTGCCTATCCCCCCCCCCAACCTTTGCCCCTGAGCGCCAGGTGTGGCCGACGTACACGATGGCGTCGCCCGCGGCGCCCTGCGCCGCCCACGTCTTCGACGTCGCCGCCGTGTCTAGGAGGAGGTGCGAGGTTCGGGGCTCTGAACGTGCTGGTGATGATGGTGGTGGTGATGATGATGATGCATCGACATCATCATCATGACCATCACCATCACCATCACCATCACCATCACCATCACCATCACCATCACCATCACCATCACCACCATCATCATCATCATCATCATCATCATCATCATCATCATCACAATCGGTATCGTCATGATCACCATCCTCATCATCGTCGTCATCATTATCATCATGACCATCCTCATCGTCATCATCACCACCACCAGCATCGTCATAATCATCATCATCATCACCATCATCAGAATCATCATCATCATCATCATCGTTGTCGTCATCGTCACCACCATCGTCATTGACATCGTCATCGTGTTCGTGGTCATCGTCATCATCAACATCATCACCATCATCACAACCATACTCACCGTCATCGCCAACACTATGACAAGCATCGCCATCACCACCACCGTCATCATCACCATCATCATCATCATCATCATCATCATCATTGTCGTCGCCGCCGCCGTAGTCGTACTCCTTCTATCGCGATCGACATCGTTGTCAAGCACCTCACCATCACCACAACCAATCATCATCACTACCATCATCAGCAGCAGCGCCATTATCAGCAGCAGCTTTATGAAAACAGCATCATCAACAACACCAAGACCAACAGCAACAGCAACAACAGCAACAGCAACAGCAGCAACAGCACCAAAAAAAACACCAATTATTTTAAGACTGTTCGCTCATATCTGCTCACGTGCCGATCAATACGTACATCTCGAACCCTCGGTACCCGCCCTCGTCGTCTTCTATCGTACCGCCTTGGGGGCATATCTTCCTTACCTGCCACGTGCATTTAGTGCAGCCCCTAAAACAAGGGTAGAGACGACGAGTGGAAGGGGGAGTGAGAAGAATGGAGCACAAGAAAAACTAGCAGGAGGGGGGCAAGGAGCAGAAAACGAGTGGTAGAACCAGACGGACAGATCGGATGGGCAGACCCAAAACGGGCAGGTCAGGAAGGCGGGCCCAGACGACCAGGTCGAGCAGGCGGGTTGCTGAAGCGTGGGTCCTGCATGCATCGCGAGGAAGTCTCGAGCGATAGCACGATTCCCAGGTAAATCGTGAGACAAGCCAAAGCGAGAGCGTCATTCCTGAGCGCCGAGGGCGTATCGTCTGACAAAAAATGCGAGGAAGTCCCACGCGAGAGCACGGGGCGTTCATGAATTGTGAGGAAGTCCCGCGCGAGAGCGCGATTTGGGAATACATTGTGAGGAAGTATGAGGCGGGAGCCGCTGCTGTTGTAAACCGAGGGCCAGGGGCCCAATTTGAACCTAGTGACTTTCCTGTTTAATATATATATATATACACATATAGATATACAGAAATACCTCTATATATATATATATGTATAAGGGTGCGAGCCCCGGGGGGGAAAACTTCAATTGAAGAAACACAATGGTCACCAGAGGGGGGGGACCAACAATCACTGTTCTGCAATAGTGAGAGTTCAACATCGACGACAACGACAAACAACAACAACAACAACAACAACAACAACAACAACAACAACAACAACAACAACAATCATTTGAAAACTGTTCGCTCCTACTGGCACGCGTGTGTTGCATTCCGTGTACCCCAACCCTCGATACCCGACCACTTCGTCTTCGATTGCAACCCCTTTCGCGGGGAATCTCTTCCCTGTCGGCCACTGACTGCAGTGCGAAGAAAGCTCGAGCGAGAGCGCTGTTCCTGAGTTCGAGAGCCTCTCTGGCCAGGGGCTCTCGGAATACCGATGAGAAAAATCGAACGGGAACCCTTGTCGTCATGTCCGAGCCTCCACCAACTTGCCTGCATTACCGGGAAGTCTCGAGCGATAGCGCCGTTCCTGAATTCGGGGGCCTTCTTGGCCAGGGGCTCTCGGAGTAAACCGTGAGGAAGTATCGAGCAAGAGCCCTTGTCGTCGTGGCTAGGCCACCGCTAACTTAATTTAATTGCGAGGAGGCCTCGAGCGAGAGGGCCGTTCCCGAGTTCGGGGGCCTCTCTGGCCAGGAAGGAAGTATCGAGCGGGAGCCGTTGTCGTCGCAGCTGAGCCTCCAAAGGCCCGCATGTGCAATTTCAAGCCAGCGCTCGAGCGGCAGCCTCGTTTTCAGAGAAAATGTAACCTGCGTCGAGGCGAGAGCGCGCGGAACCGTTTCCGGAGATCAACAACAGTTATTCTTTAGAAATAAATATTGAACGATAATCTTAAGACTGTTCGCTCCTACTGACACGCGTGTTTTGCATTCTGTCTACCCCAACCCTTGATACGCGCCCACTTCGTCTTCAATCGCACCCCCTATCGGGGAGAATATCTTCCTCGTCGGCCACTGACTGAAGTGCGAGGAACTCTCGAGCGAGAGCGCCGTTCCTGAGTTCGGGGGCCTCTCTGGCCAGGCCAGGGGCTCTCGGAATACATTTTAACAAATATCGAACGGGAGCCCTTGTCGCCCTGTCTGGGCCTCCACCAACTTGCCTGAAGTACAAGACAATCGCAAGCGAAAGCGCCACTCTTGAGTTCGAGAGCCTCTCTGGCAAAGGCCTCTGCGAATACATCTTGAGGACGTATCGAACGGGAACCCTTGTCGTCATGTCCGAGCCTCCACCAACTTGACTGAACCATGCGAAAGTCTTGAGCGAGAGCGCCGTTCCTTAGTTCGGAAGCCTTCCTGGCCAGAGGCTCTCGGAGTAAACCGTGAGGAAGTATCGAACCAGAGCCCTTGTCGTCGTGGCTGGGCCCCCACCGCGATAACTGAATTGCGAGGAGGCCTCGAGCGAGAGGGCCGTTCCCGAGTTCGGGGGCCTCTCTGGCCACGGTGTCTCGGGGTAGCCTGTGAGAACGTAACGAGCGGAAGCCGTTGTCGTCGCAGCTGAGCCTCCAAAGGCCCACTTTCACACTCAAGCCAAAGCTCGAACGGGAGCCTCGCTTTCAGAGAAAACAGTGTAGCCGGCGCCGAGGCGACACCGCTACTCTAGAAATGAATAAACAACACCACAACAACTGTCATTTTGAGACTGTTCGCTCCTTTCTTTTCGAATGTCATTCATCGTGTATTTCCTGACCCTCGATAGCCGCCCTCTTCGTCTTCGATTGTACCCCTTCTGGGGGGTATATATGTTTTCCCTGCAGGCGGGGCCCCGGCAAGCGGCAGGGCGGCCGCGGACCGTCAGCCTGGCCAGCGGCAACGCTGACCCGAGGCAACCCGACCCCAAGAGGGACGGACAGGGGAACGACCACGACGACGACGACGACGACGACGACGACGACGACGACGGCGACGACGACGACGACGACGACGAGCGCAAGCGAAAGTGAGAGTGAGAGCGAGAGCAACAGCGGGGCCACGAAGGGCATGAAGGGGGCCACGAAGGGCGAGAGCAGGGCCACGAAGGGCATGCGTATGGGACCACGAAGGGCGCGAACGACCGGGGGCCACGAAGGACAGATAATGCGGGGCCACACAGGGCACGACGGGGCCACTGAGGGTAACAACGGGGCCCCGTAGGACAGCGAGAGGGCCACAAAGGGCGACACCGGGGCCACGAACGGCATGCATATGGGGCCACGACGGGCGCGAACGACCCGGGGACACGAAGGGTATACATATATTTTTATATATATATATATATATGGGACCACGAAGGGCAGCGAGGGGGCCACGAAGGGCTGCAACGGGGCCAGGAAGGGCAGCGACAGGGCCACGAAGGACTGCAACGGGGCTACGAAGGGCACCGAGGGGGCCACGAAGGTCTGCAACGCGTCCACGAAGGGGAGCGAGGGGGCCACGAAAGGCTGCAACGGGTCCACGGAAGGGAACGGGGGGTGCCACGAAGGGCTGTGACGGGGCCACGAATGGCAGCAAGATCCCGATGCCTAAGTAAACGGTGAGGGAGTCCTAAGCGTGAGCGCGACTCCTGGGTGCCTGAGTGTCGGGAGCGCGGCGATCGAGTAAATTGCAGATTCCAACGCAAGAGCGCAATTCTCTCGTAAATTGCAAGCAAGACTCCAACGAAAGCGCGACTCCAGAGCCCCGGAGGGGCGATTCCTGAATAAAGCGTAAGGAAGCCCAAAGCAAGAGCGCGACTACTGAGTAAAATGCGAAGAAATCTAAGGCGGGAGCGGGGTCCTGGCTAAATTGTAAGAAAATATCAGTATGGAGCCGTTGTTGTAATTTGGAGGCCAACAACGCCGCAGTTTGAGCCTAGTGGCTGCTCCTGATAGAGAACAAGAGTGCGAGCCCCGGAGACGCACTTCAATTGAATAAGCACAATGGTTCCTGGAGGGGGTCAGCAATACTTCTTCTTCAGAAATGAAAGTTCAACAACAAACACAAGAAGCAACAACAGCTAACAACAACAAGCACCAACAAACAACAAACAGCTAACAACAAACACAACAACAACAACAACAGCAACAACAACAACAACAACAACCACAACGAGAAGCTTAAGACTGTTCGCTCCTATCTTTTCACGTGCCACTCAAAACGTCTATCCTAAGCCTCGGTACCCGCCCTCGTCGTCTTCGATCGTACCCCCATCGGGGGTATATCTTCCTTATATGCCACGCGCATTTAGTGCAGCCCCTAACGCAAGGGAAGAAAGGACGAGTGGAAGGGGGAGGGAGAAGAATGGAGCACGAGAGAAATTAGCAGGAGGGGGGCAAGGAGCAGAAAACAAGTGGTAGAACCAGACGGGCAGATCGGGTGGGCAGACCCAAAGCGGGCAGGTCGGGAAAGCGGGCCCAGGCGACCAGGTCGAGGAGGCGGGCTGCTGAAGCGTGGGTCCTGCATGAATCGCGAGGAAGTCTCAAACGATAACGCGATTCCCAAGTAAATCGTGAGAAAAGCCAAAACGAGAGCGTGATTCCTGAGCGCCGAAGGCGCATCGAGTGAATGAATTGCGAC